TAATATTTAGAATCAGGATCGTTGAGGGTAGCAGCCCCTCAGACCCCTTCAAGGTCCGGGTATGGTGTAATATCTGGTGAGGGTAAAATAACTATGGAAATCTGAGGGTAAAACGAATCAACTCACATGCATTTATTTTCCCTGAGCATGTCTCTTTATTGTGCTTTCTTGTTCTCTGTTCTAATTCTTTGTCCTGTCTGTAATTTCTTAGCTCAATTCTCTGTCTCAATTCTAATTCCAACTCCAATTCTCTACTGCATTCTTCTCTTTCTTCTCTTCTTCCTCCTCCTTCTTCATTTTCCAATCTCTGCTATTTTCTGGGACACTTATACTCCAACTTCTGCTCCAGTTTCTATTAACTCTTTGTCCTTACCCAGCTATAAAGGCACACAGAATCTTGAAGGCACAGGGAGTAAAGGGGCAAAGTATGTACAAGGGAAGTTAACTGCCCTTGGTCCATTAGCACTTTTTCCAAATATTAGCAAGCTCTGAGGGCCTTTTAGATATAAAATTTACACCTATTGCTCTAAGTAGTTGAAACAATGAGAATAACCAGGCCTCTACATTATCAGATCTTGGGCTTGATGCCTATCAGAGGTACCAGTGGAGGTTTATCTTCCTCTGGGCTGTGGGCAAATGGTTAATTATTTTTCCTGAGAGTAAGACACAAGCAGTAAATCTCCTCAAATCAATAAACTGAGGTGAAGGTGAGGACTTAGGAATCACTTAATGCAAGGTTAATTTTAGATCATTGCTTTTTCTTATCTGTAATTGAAGTAAAACCAGGGCATGCTAAAATTTTCTGTATATCTGAGCAGCTATGAATCAGCAACTTTGAGCATGTAGCAATTCTATGTCCTTAGATATCTGAGAATGTTTAAAATGGAATACTATTTCCTGGTTCATAAACACTGACCAAATGCCTGCTAATAAAGATATTTGCAGGAATGTAGATCTCTACAGTTACATTGAAGCAAGGAGCAAGGACCTGGTAGTGGGAAGCAAGTTTCTTGGCTGTGTGATTGTTTTCACATATAGCTAGGAGATATAATCAGTAAACTCCAAATGCATAAGGTAAATTGTACCCAGTAAATGATTAAATAGTCTGAGCTGTGGGAGATAAATCTCAAATTTATAACAGAAGGGGATAACCTTCAGCAAGAAATCTCCAGCAAGAAATAGTCACTTCTTTCACAAGGCAATAACTCCAACATGCCTTGCATTTTGGTTAATCATCCATACAGAGCTCCTGACTTTGATATGTTGACCTTGTGAAATAAGGTTGATTAATTGCTAAATGCTATTGTTGTTCATAGTAACTTACGTGAGAGATACATTTGCAAATAATTTTGTGGCGATTATAAATCTCCACATCTCTTGTGTTTAGTAGCACTCCACTATTAAGCTGTGATGTAGAAGAGTACAATTGGTGATATAAAGGATTTATCAATTCTTAGGAGATAGTAAGTCACACAAAGTAGAATTTAGCTAAGGGAGATCTGTGTCTAAAATACCTGAAAGATAAATATTAGCTAACCAGGCCTGTTAGAGATTGGAGTGTTAGGATCCACCTTTGTTCACCAGAATTGTCCAGACATTTGGCTTCAAACCAAGTCAAAGGAGACACCCCTGATTTACAACCAGCCACTAGGCCCATCTTTATATCAAAGAACAGGCTGCTAACAAGGTGCTCAAGGAGAGGGATTACATGGTCACAGCAAAAATTTAGACCTGGTGTGTGATAAAGTTCCAGTTTTCTTCTTGAGAAAAAGACTGTTTTGACAGACAAGTTGACGGCTGTTTGACAAGGAAACCACTTGCGTTTAGGGCTGTACTGATTAACAAGACTTTCCCTTTAGATTCCCATTAAGGGAGAAGGAATGTGTTTGGCAGAGTCAGGAAAGGCTTGCTGTCTAGGACTTGGAGGCTCTCACTATGACAGTGCATCAGATAATAGGGAATCTATCTACCTCAAAACCCAGTTATACCTAACTCTTGGGCATATAGCCCCAAAATGATCCTGCATCCTGCCACAAGGACACATAGTTAACTGTGTTCAAAGAAAGCTACCTTATTCATAGTAGCCAGGAACTGTTATGTCTGTAACAGATTGTATTGATTTATATTGGTGTTGGAAGACTCTCCTATAGTGATATTTTATTTATATTTTAATTAATAAAGCTTGCCTAAAGATCAGAGGGTAAAACTAAGATACTAAAGACCAGGCAGTAGTGTCACATACTTTCAATCCCAGGATTTGGGAGACAGAGACAGATGGATCTCAGTGAATGCAAGACTTCACCCAGGACTTCACAAGATAAATGTAGACACAAATCCAAATAGTGTTAGCTCACACCCTTAATCCCAGTACTAGAGAGTTACATGCCTTTAATTCCAGTACTAAAGGGGAATATAAGATGGGAGGAGACAGAGGGACAGGGCTCAATCTGCAGTTGTCCAGCCTTGGTAGAAGTAAGTCTTCTCTGGTGGCTCTGCTTTAGGCTGAACCCCAGTATCTGTCTCTTGGTTTTTATGATTTGTATTACACTCTTCCATTTAGTTGGCAGTGCCTCTTTGCAAGTGGACATGGGATGGATAAGAGCGTTAACTGAGCACAATACAGTGACAAAGCAAGTGAGAAAGCCAGGAAACAATGTGTGTCAATGCTTTTTTTCCTCTATTTTCTAGCTTGATTTTCAATTCTATGCTCATGCAAGGGTGAACTGAGATATTGCAGAACTGGTTAAATAAAATTGCCTCCGATACTTTTGGTTAGATAATGTAATCACAACAGCAGAGAAGCAAGTCAGAAAAAAAAATGGAACACTAAAATTGATCATGCTCATAGGAAGAACCTGGGAGTGTTTGGTTTTTTAGATGAATGGAGAAGATACCAGGATGTAAATGGCAAAAGTCATTAAGGTGTACAGAGCTCAATCATCTCCTCTTGTGGGATGAGGAAGAGGGGACTCTTGAAGGTAATGCACACAGAGGAGGTCAAGACCACAAGATACCTAAGTCAAATGTGAGACATAAGTCATGGATAACTGCTTGTAGGGAATGGAAGTAGCCAAAGATATACATGAGAAATTCAGTCAGCACAGACAATTTCTGATGTTAGCCTACCTCTAGGTACAACTCTTTCACTACTAAAGTCCACTAACTCTGGAATGGGATCATCCCCAAGCCCTAGGAAACAAATAGCACCATGACAACACTGTCAACAGCATTAAGCACACCAGAGGATGCCATTCGATCATCTGGAACTCAGAAATCCACTTCCTAAAAAGTCAGCTTTAAGTCCAATCTCATTAACACAGGACAAAGTCACTAACACAAACAAACTTTACCCATGACAAGTATGGCAGTAATAAACACCTCTTCACCAGTCATAGCCACCCTGAAGACAACTTTTCTTATCAAAGACACATCTGAGACTCAGGAAAAGTACAGTGCAACTGTACTCCAAACCCCAGCAACAACCTTCACAAGAGCTAAGCCACCACATCCACACTACAGCACTGTCACCTAGACACATTCCCAGCCAGCACAGCTGGGCTCAAGCATAGACACTGGTACAACCCAATCACCTGAGCATTCCATAGCCATTTTCCTTAGCTCCTGTTTGTTGTGTCTGGCTGTCATGAGTTCACCACATTATAGATGGCATCACTAAAACCCGTAATATACATTCGATGCAATTGCTGTTCAAGGTAAGCCATTTCTGTAGCCTGACATTTTTAATTTTGTGTTAACATTTGGTGCAGAAGACAAAGTTTCTCTGTGTAGCCCTGACTGTCTTGAAAGTATTTCTGTAGATCAGACTGACCTAAATTCAGAGACCCAAATGATTCTGGTTTCTTCATCCTATGATTAAAATGGGGGCATCATGTCTGCTTTCTTTGTTTTTATGTTCTTGGCTGGTGGCCCTAGAATGTAGTTTTGTACATATTAAGTATATGCTGTTTTCATGAGCTTCACTTACATTTTGAATTTTGAAGTCTGGCAGAGTGTATCATTCTCTTTCCTAGGATGACAGTATTATGATCTTAATACTACCTGAGCCTTCTGATTCATTCAAATGCTGGTTTGTGGCATTATTCCTACTAACTGTGTTTGCTTTGAATTCTTTTGAGTCAATATGTGTCTTGTGTCTGTATATATGAATATGCACCACATGTGTGCCTTGTCCTCACAACAATCAGAAGATGGCCTTACAATCCCTGAACTTGTGGTAGTAGGTAGTTGTGAGCCCCATGTAAGTACTGCCAATCAAGCCCACCTCTCTGTAAGACTGACAAGATCTCTTAAATGCCAAGCCATCTCTTCTATCCTGTTGTTTACTTATGATCAACATTTACATCGCTAATGTTTTTACCTGTTTATTTGTAACTTTAAACATTCATTCCCTTTAGTAAAATCATATGATTGGTATAGTTTAAACTGGTTTCTGATGCTGAACTGGAGTATAATGCATAATTCTTTGTAGGAACTTCAGTAAAATTCTGTTAGTTCTTTCTACATTTTTGTTCAGTTTATTTTTATGGGGGAGACAGGGTCTGACTAATATGTAACTAATATAGCTACCCTTAAATTTCACTGCATAGGCCTGGCTGCTATCCAACTCAATTAAATTCACCTGTCTTTACCTCCTGAGTGCTGGACTTAAAGGCATGTTTCAATACACCCAGCTTGCCCATCATTTTTGTAGTTAGTTCTGTCAATTTATCTGATGTATACTTTGATCTGTTTGCTTGCTTCTCTTTATGTCTCTTAATATGCATTTCTCTTGGAAGCCTATGTCCTAGACAAAGGGTGTAGAAATGGCAGGTGAACCTCATTGTTGCTTTTTTTTTTCTAGAGTGAGTTGATGATTATAACTTCTTTGTGATGGTATAAGTTTGGGGAGCCCCAGAATCGTATGAATATATTGTCAAATATGCATTCAGCATGCTGTCAGTGTCACACTTTCTGTTGTTCACATGTATGGAATATTTTAGGATGCAGTGACCTATGATGATGTGCATGTGGACTTCACTTGGGAGGAGTGGGCTTTGCTGGATCCTTCCCAGAAGAATCTCTACAACGATGTGATGCTGGAGACCTATAGGAACCTCACCGATATAGGTAAGACTGAATTTTCCATCACATTTTAAAATAAAGTTCCTTGGTTATTGATACTCTTCTGTAATTTCTGTTGATGAGAGAGTGGAAGAATGAGGTAAATAAATTTGGCATGCTTCTAAGGTTCACTGAAGAGAGTAACTTAAATTTTTCACACTTTCCCATGATATATCATACATTTTCTGGTACTGTGTTTTAGGCTACAGTTGGGAAGACTATAATATAGAAGAACATTGTCAACGTTCTGGAAGACATGGAAGGTAATTTTCATATGCAAACTATTCAAATGTGCATATGGAGAAATTTTAACATGTCCTGGAAGTTTTAAACAAAAGCAACAGTGTAAATAAGCACAGTTTAAAGTATACTGATAACTATTAAATTTTCAGAAAAGTAAATACCCCAATGCCAGGTAGCTGATGTGTGTTTGCAAGGCATTTTTCTAAGAAAGAATATAGGATAACTGATATCCGCATTTGAAATACATCTCCATGATAGCTATGCTGTAGAACAGCCTATCTGTTTAGTTTCATACTACTCAGACATTACAAAAAGTATATGTGTTAAATAGGTGATATGTATTGATCCAGAACCTTCAGAGTAAACTAGTGTTCCTCATCTACTTGTAACTTTCCTAAGTTTAGTGAGAGGGATATTTTTTGAGAGTTAAGAGCATTGTGGGCAGTGATGGCGTGCACTTTTAATCCAGGCGGATCTCTGTGAATTCAAGGCCACCCTGGTCTACAAGAGCTAGTTCAATGGCAGGCACCAAAGCTACCGAGAAATCTTGTCTCAAAGAAAACCAAAAAAAGAACATTGTTGAAGAGAAATGTTAATACTTGTACCACATGTTTATGAGGAATAGAAATTCAAGTTGTGTGAATGCAGTGTGGAATCATTTTATTATTCTTCCTTCATCAGTGTATCATATATCACTCTGCATAAAAGCCATGTAAGAATGGGGATATGGAAAGAAGTAACAACTTGCAACAGAACAATGAGAAGATATGCAGTAGTCACCACTTTGTGTAGAAGTTTTTAATGTGATACAAGTCTAAAATTATTTTTTTCCAACAATTGAGAGTACATTAATAAGCTTACACTGCAGGAAAATCCTATGAGTAGTGGAATGAGTAGTGTGTTTGTTCTGGTTTATTTTATAATTATAGTATGAGTCACAATATTAGAAAATTTATGAATGCAGTATGTATGTTAAAGTTCTGAGTTCTTCCCAGTTCTCTTCAAATATATGAAGAATCTCATATAAAAAAAGATACTATAAATGTGGGCCCTATAATAAAGACTCTTACCGTTACACATACCTTCAGAGACACAAAACAACACTTAATAAAGGAGTACATTATGATTGTAAACAATAAAGTCATTTTTCTCTTTACATTTAGACCAATTTGTAAAATTAATTCATAGAGATATAAATATTTATTAGTGTAATAAATGTGATGAAGCTTGTACTTGTGTCTATTATCCTCACAGATACAGAAAAGGCCATACTAGAGAGAATCCCTCTGAATATACTCAATGTTCTAAAGCCTTTTCACATCACAGTCATCTTCAGAGGCATGTAAGAATTCATCCTGGAGAGAAGCCCTATGAAAGTATTCAATATGGTGAAGCCTTTACACACAACAGCATTCTCCAAGTACATAAAGCAACACATGTTGGAGAGAAAACCTTTGAATGTAAACAATGTGGTAAAGCCTTTACATGTGCCAGTAGTCTCAGAAGACATGAAAGAACACATACTGGAGAGAAACCCTATGAATGTAATCAATGTGCTAAAGCCTTTTCACAACACAGTACTCTCCAAATACATAAAAGAACACATTCTGGAGAGAAACCCTACAAATGTAATCAGTGTGATAAAGCCTTTACACTTCACAGTCGTCTCCAAATACATAAAAGAACACATTCTGGAGAGAAACCTTATGAATGTAATCAATGTGGTAAAGCTTTTGCATGTGCTGGTAATCTCCAAAGACATAAAGGAACTCATGCTGAAGAAAAGCCCTACAAATGTAATCTGTGTGATAAAGCCTTTTCACGACAAAGTCATCTCCAAGAACATAAAAGAACACATACTGGAGAGAAACCCTACAAATGTAATCAATGTGCTAAAGCCTTTTCACAGCACAGTCATCTCCGAATACATAAAAGAACGCATACTGGAGAGAAACCCTACAAATGTAATCAATGTGAAAAAGCCTTTTCACAACACCATAGTCTTCAAATGCATGGAAGAACACATACTGGAGAGAAACCCAATAAATGTAACAATGTGGTAAAGCCTTTGATTTTCCCGGTAATCTCCATATTCATAAAGGAACACATACTGGAGAGAAACCCTGTGGATGTAAGTAATGTGGTAAAGCCTTTGCATGCTTCTGGAGTCTTTGAAATAATGAAAAAAAAATCATCATGCAGAGTAACTCTGTAAATGTATTAAATGTGGTAAAGTTTTGCACTTCATGGTAGTCTTTATACAAGAGTTAAAGTTTCAGTGTTAACTGGTCTCTTAAAGTTTTTTTAAGTCGTTCTTGAGGACCTGAAAAAATTAATACTGAAGGGAATCTGGACATAAAAGTTTTGGTAAGATCTTTAGTCAACCCACTTACATTCATTTACATGAAATTATTCTGGGGAAAAAATGACAGGTGTCACCAATCTGTTCAAGCATTATGATGTCCCTCTTTATTTTGCACCTGCAAACTCACACAGACAAAAGCCCTATGAATTTAAATTTTGAGGTAATCTCTTTTTCTTCCACAGTTCTCTTCAATTACATGAAATATGTCATCCAGGTATAAAACGTAATGGATGTGTTTTAGTGCCTTTGTGTTGTTGTGATCAAACATTATGTCTAAGTCAATTTAAGAAAGAGTTGGTTCTTGGATCTAGAGGGATACCGAAATACCATGAAAGTGGCATGGAAGCAAGTGTCAAACATGGAAGTTAAAACAGACTGCTGAGAACTCACATCTTCCACCTACAGCCTGAAGTGGAAAGTGGAAATGGTGTGTGGATGTGAAATTGCATACTCACCCCCAGGGACATACGTTATTCAGAAGGGCAAGCATTATGTAACTGAGAAAGATTGATTTGTCTGACATCAGTCCTACAATGCTTGTTTTCTGTTACATGAACTAGTATATGACAAATATAAACAGCAAGTAAGCCTTTAGATGCTTCAACTCCTGTGTTATAGGAATAAATGTATTCAAGAAAAAATTTTTTTCAATGAAAATCAGATTGTTTAGTGACTTAATTTTACTTGTTGCTGTCAGTGTGTCTTTGTATGGGTATGTTCATGTACATGCTGGTTCCCAAAAGTTTAAACACTTGGATGTTCTTTAAAAGGAATTACAGAAATTTGTCAAAAACCCGCCCTTCATCCTGGCAATAAACTTCTCTTAACTGCTTAGCCATGCCTCTGGCCCTGTAAATATGCTAAAACCTTCATATATCATCTTAATGTCAGGAAATAGGAAATAATTTATTCAAAAAATTCTATTCATGTAAACAATTTAGTAAAGACTTTAGACATAATACTTTAATTCAGTTTCAAGAAAAATGTTATTTGATTTCTTTTTCATCATAACCTTGCAGTCAGTAAATTGGTTACCATGTTCTGTCAAGATAGATGGTGGAGATTACTGCAATGTGGTTTCTATTTTGCAACCTTTGAGGTAGATGCAGAAGTGTATGTGGTAAATCCATTTAGAGAAATTTATTTTGTGGTCCTTATATTCTTTACTGGATTTTTATTCATCTTCTTTTATTCTTTCACTGTGTAATAGGCATTTTTCTGTGCAGTGCATAGAATGACATGCCCAGCATATAAGTGGTCCATTGTTTATTTAGAGGCCATGTGTGATCATGCTTTTGAAGAAAGGGTGTCCAAAATGGTGGGCTTTTTTCTGTTTTTGTTTTTTATGTTTTCACAAATTCCCCTGAGGTGTTGTACATTATCCAGCCTGGCTCTGATGTCAGTAATTATTAAGGGCTACATTTGAATTCATGATTGTCATATGTCAGCCTCCTTAATAAAAGTCCAAGGGTAGGTGATGTAACCCCGATGCATTTATTTATTAACATGTTTAAATGATGCCGATGTTAAAATGTTTAATAGAATAGAATATAATAATCATTAAATACCTCATGTGTATTCCAAGCAGCGTTTTCATTTGTCTGGTAGACATGTACTAGCATAGGATAATCATCAATCAACTATGTATTTTATCACATATCTTAATGTGCTATATTGTAGGAGCTGTGGGCCTCCTCCCACAGCCCAGCTCCCGCACGGCTAGCTTTACACCAGAAATAACAACACACAAATTGTATTCATTTAAACACTGCTTGGCCCATTAGCTCTAGCCCTTACTGGCTAATTCTGATATCCCGATCAACCCATCTCTAATAAACTGTGTAGCACCGGTCTTACCGGGAAAGATTCAGCATGTCTGACCTGGCGGCTTGCTTCATCGCATGCGTCTGTCCGGGAGAGGGGAGCATGGCCTCTGAGTTCACTTCCTCTTCTTCCCAGCATTCTGTTCTGTTTACTCCTCCCACCTATGTTTTGACCTATGAGGACCAAGCAGTTTCTTCATTATAATTAACCAATGAACTTCCTCCATCAGTGCTATGGATGTGTGTGTGTGTGTGTGTGTGTGTGTGTGTGTGTGTGTGTAATTTGAGTTTCCATCTTTCTTCATGTCCCTGTTAGTTATCGATTTTATACTTTATCTTGAAGTGCAGCATTCTAAGGGAATTATTCAGAGGTGCCAGATAATGCAATGGCAAGAAGATTTATTTTTAAAAAATTTGGGTGTGTGTGTAAGGGGGTGAAGGATTATGGCTTTTGGGGGCCATGATACATACGTAGAGACAGGAAGACAACTTTGTAGGATTTCCTTTTTTTTCATCATATGGGGGTCAAGATGAGGTTTCCAGTCTTACAACATAGCCATTTCCCACTGAGACATATCACTGATTCTCAAGATTAGTCAACACATTATATCACTAAAATGTTGTCTTCTTTTCAGATTTTAAACATATTTTCACCCAAAGATAGAGGTAAACAGAACAATTTGGATAACAAATCTTATTTGCAAATGAAAATAAAATACTATTGATCACCTTATTTGTAATGTGTTAGTTTATTTTTTTGAATGCCATAAAATTGTCTCTGATTATGAATTTGGTTTTTGCTAAGCCTGATGACTTGAATTCTATCCTAGGAAACTTATATTACTTCTAGAATTTTTTCACTTATTTCTACACTTGGGCTCTAGGATATACACACTTCCATCTGACGTCTTATATTATGCTATATTATGATATGTTTGGAAACTATAGGGTTTGCTCAGTAGTATTGCTCTGTTAAAGAAGCAAGTCTGGATCCTACCACCTACATTACATAGCTTGGAAGTACCTGTAATTCAAGGTCTAAGAGATCCAATGCCTCATCTGGCCTAGGGCACCAGATATGCAGATGGTAAAAAGACATATGTATTTGGGATTAAATATTGTGAAAAGGTTTTCTTCATGTATATGTTATTTTCGAAAAGAATTTAAAGTAATTTAGGTATATAAGTCTTGCCTCTGTGTATACCAAATGCATGTCAGTTACAAGTGGAGACCAGAAAATGGTGTCAAATCATGATCGAAGTTAGAGTGTTGTGAGCTATCTCTTCGGTGCTGCAAATCACAACAAGGCCCTGTGGATGAGAAGCCTTTGCTCTTAGGTGCTGAGCCATCTACTCAACCCCATGAGCATGACATTAATAGCAGTAAAGTGGGAATAGTTGATCCTAAATTCATCTTTACCCCAGACCTAATGATTCAGAAAAAAAAAAAAGGTTGATTGCATCAGACACTGATTTAAACTTGGTGCCTTAAGATGTTTCTAAGCCCAAATTTCCACAAAATGGAGGGAGAGTACAAAAAATGATCAGGAGAGAAACTAACAAGTTTTTAAAAAGTGGCTAACCAATTGTCCAAAGCCACAAGACAGGTTGTCTCAACTCTGGCATATAGGCAGTGATGTTAGCCCACAAGGACACATGTCAGGTGTCTCCCTGCTGGAGTTTTATGACTGAGTTCAGGGCAGTGATGGTAATGCACAAGGACGCGTCAGGTGCACCCCTGCTGGAGTTTATGTGTCCTCTATGGAGAGAAAAGGACTTTGGAAGCATGAAGTCTGACTTGTCCAAATCATATCATCTTCTGTTTCTTTAATGTCTTCAAAAGCTTCAGTTAGCGTCCTTTGGTGATGGTGACTCCAGATGACATCCAGATTATCAGTAGATCCTGAGACCTAAACAGAAGTCACCCTAAGGCTGGGGCACTCTTGTTGAAATAAGAGCGGCGGGGCTGCATCCCCGGCACCCGGCCGCCCGCCCGCATGGCTAGCTTATGTCCAGAAATAATTACATGGAAACTGTATTCTTTCAAACACTGCCTGGCCCGGCTAGTTCCAGCTTCTTATTGGCTAGCTCTTACATATTGTTCTAACCCATTTCTAATATTCTGTGTAAGGGAGGATCTTAACCTGCGTCTGTCTGGAGTGGGAGAATCATGGCGACTCACTCACTCAGCTTCTTTTTCCCAGAATTCTCCTCTGTCTACTCCACCTACCTAATTTTCTGTCCTATGAGGGCCGAGGCAGTTTCTTTATTATTACAAGACCCACCTCCATCATTTCCCCTTTTTCTTTTTAAACAAAAAAAGAAAGGCTTTAACTTTAACATAGTAAAATTATATATCACAAAACAGTTATCAAGTAAGAATTACAGTTATAATATTTATATCTATTTTATATTTTATCATAATTAAGGAAAACTATAACTATTCATTCTTCAATTTCATCAAAGACTCCAGAAGGTTATAATATTACCTATCAAACAAGAAATAAGAAAATTGCAGGCATTGGAACAGCTGGTACAAGAACAACTAGATGCTCACCATATTGAAGAATCAACCAGCCCTTGGAATTCTCCTGTGTTTGTTGTAAAAAAGAAATCTGGTAAATGGAGAATGGTGACAGATTTAAGAGCTATCAACAAGGTAATTCAACCTATGGGCCCACTACAATCTGGAATTCCTTTGCCTTCTCTATTACCAAAGGGATGGCCTCTTATAGTTATTGATTTGAAAGATTGTTTTTTCACTATACCGTTACAAGAAAAGGATAGAGAAAAATTTGCCTTCACAGTGCCTACTTATAATAATTCTCAGCCTAATAGGAGATATCAATGGACTGTCCTCCCACAGGGTATGCTCAATAGTCCTACATTGTGCCAATATTTTGTAAGTAAGCCTTTGGAAATAATTCGTAAACAATTCCCCAAGTCCATAATTTATCATTACATGGATGACATCTTATTATCTGATTCAAATAAAGATATTTTAGAAAGGATGTTTGAAGAAGTAAAGAAAGTCTTGCCTAAGTGGGGATTACAAATTGCTCCTGAAAAGATTCAAAGAGGAAATTCTATTAATTACCTAGGTTACAGAATAGGGTTAGAGAAAATTAAAACGCAAAAGGCACAAATTAGGAGAGACCAGTTAAAGACTCTTAATGACTTCCAAAGATTGTTAGGAGACATTTCCAGTCTACGACCAGCTGTTGGGATAACACCTGATCTAATAGTTCATTTAAACAAAACCTTAGATGGTGATAAAGATTTGAATAGTCCAAGAAAACTGACAGCTGAAGCAGAAAAGGAACTGACAATGATTGAGGAAAAATTACAGGAGGCACATGTCGATAGGGTGAACCCAAATCTTAGCTGCATCCTAGTCATATTGCCTTCCAGAATTTCTCCTACAGGGATTCTAATGCAGAGGGAAGAAATTATTTTAGAGTGGATATTTATACCTAATAAACCAAGTAAAAAATTAAAAACTTATGTGGAAAAAGTCTCTGAATTAATTATAAAAGGTAAGCTGAGACTTCGTCAACTAGCAGGTATAGACCCAGCAGAAATTATAGTGCCTTTTACTACTGAAGAAATAAAAAAGTTATGGGAAGACAATGAACTGTGGCAAAGAGCTTGTGCTAATTTTTTGGGAGAAATTAATAGCAACTATCCCAAAAGTGGTAGACTTAACCTCATAAAGAGAACTTCTTGGATTCTTCCTAAAATTGTACGTGATGCTCCAATAACTGGAGCCCGTACGTTCTATACTGATGCGAATAAATCAGGGAAAGCCGGTTACAAGTCAGAAGAATTGAGTAAGGTGGAACAAAGCCCTTATAATTCTGTCCAGAAGGCAGAATTATATGCCATTCTTATGGTGCTAAGGGATTTTAAAGAACCTCTTAATATAGTTACAGATTCACAATATGCAGAAAGAGTTATTTTACATATTGAAACTGCTGAATTTATACCTGATGATACAGAACTAACCTCATTGTTTATCCAGGTTCAGGAACAGGCTTTGCCCTATGTACATAACACACATCCGATCCCATAAGGGTCTGCCAGGTCCTCTAGCACAAGGTAATGCAGAAATTGATCAATTATTGATTGGTAGTGTGCTACAAGCCTCTGAATTTCATAAAAAACATCATGTTAACAGCAAAGGTTTGAAGAAAGAGTTTTCTATCACATGGCAACAAGCTAAGGAGATTGTAAAGAAATGCCCTACTTGCTCTTTCTATAACCAAACGCCAGTGCCAGCAGGGGCTAATCCAAAAAGCACCCAAAGGAATGAAATCTGGCAGATGGATGTGTTTCACTTTGCAGAATTTGGCAAATTAAAATATGTTCTTCACACCATTGACACTTATTCAGGCTTTCAGTGGGCAACTGCCTTAAGCTCAGAAAAAGCTGATTCAGTAATCACTCATTTATTAGAAGTCATGGCTATCATGGGTATACCTACACAAATAAAGACAGATAATGGTCCTGCTTATGCCTCTAGGAAAATGAAACGGTTTTTTAACTATTACAATATCAAGCATGTTACAGGTATACCATACAATCCTACAGGTCAAGCAGTCATAGAAAGATCAAATCGAACTATAAAAGATATGTTGAATAAACAGAAAGGGGTGGAAAACACCCCCAGAAATAGGTTACATAATGCTTTGTTAACCTTGAATTTTCTTAACGCTAATGAGAAGGGAACAATGGCTGCAGAAAGACATTGGATAATGGAAAAGTCTACTGAACTAAATCAACCAGATTATTTCAAGGATGTGCTGACCTCACAATGGAAGCCAGGAGATGTGCCGCGTTGGGGAAGGGGTGAGGAACAATTGTGGATACCGTCAAAATTAATAAAGGTTTGGTATGAAGAAGAAAAGCCATTTGGAAAAGATAAATAACAATTCATTCACAAGGATGGCGAGCATACTGATGGTAAGGAATACAGATAGGTTGGGGGCAGGGTTCTTTTCTTATCTCCACAGGAAAATACTGACCTTGATAAATTGCATTTTTTCTTTGTATATCCTCTCTTTTAGAAAAAAAAGTTGTTTAAAGAATAGTCTCACTATGAATTCCTTGTTGGGCTTGGATCTTCCACTAAATAACTACACTCTTCCAAAATATCAGAGAGATTTTTTCACCTTGATGCAGAGGGCCTGTTGGCCCATTACAATGACGTGTGTTGGGCACATCACAATGAAGTAATTAGCTCTTTTAATTCATTATTGAGGACGAGTGGCTGAGCCTGACTAATTAGGAATAGTTCAGACATAGGCTCTGGTCCTAACTCTTGTAACAAGAGAGTTGTCCCACCAGCCCTCCTGTTGTAAAGTTTACTGTCTTTGAACTATGAGCAGTAATGTCTTTAAAAAAAAAAAGTCATCGAGTTTGCAGTTTGTTATAACTCTTCAAAGGACTTTAGCAGAGATCTGTTCTTGTTCTTATTCCTGCAATATTGAAATCCAGGCTCACAGTGATTAGTGGTCTTTAAATATAGTTGTATAATGTTTTGATTTCTGACAAAATAAAGCTTGCCTGGAGATTTGCTAGCCACTTGTTAACCATAGAGGCCAGGCAGTGGCGACTCACCTGTCTAATCACAACACTCAGGAGTTTCACACATTTGAACCCAGCACAATTGACAGGTGGAGACTGGAATATAAGGTGGGTGGAGGTAGCATCTTAGCCTCCTTTTGTTTAGAGGATCCAGAGAGGTAAGATTTGACTCTGGCTTCTATGTTTCTCTGATCTATCATGTTGTTATACTGATATATGACTCTTAATTTTTATTGATGAGACTAATTAGGAGCATGTTACATCTGGTGCCCAGCTTGGGTTAAGAAGTTGCTCATAAAGCCTGAAAAGGCTTTTAAAAAGATGAACATGGGATGTACTCACTCATAATTGGTTTCTAGCCACAAATAAAGGTCACGGAGTGTATACCTGGTGAACCTAAAGAAGCTAAACAAGAAGGTGAACCCAAGAAAAAACATATAGTTATCCTCTTGGCTAAGAACCTTCATCTGGTGATGGATGGAGATAGAGACAGAGACCCACACTGGAGCACTGGGCTGAGCTCCCAAGGTCCCAATGAGGAGCAGATGGAGGGAGAACACGAGCAAGGATGTCAGGACCACGGGGGGTGCACCCACCCACTGAGACAGTGGGGCTGATCTATTGGGAGCTCACCAAGGCCAGCTGGACTGTGACTGAAAAAGCATGGGATAAAACCGGACTCTCTGATCATGGCGAACAATGAGGACTGATGAGAAGCCAAGGTCAAAGGCAAGGGGTTTTGATCCTACTTCATGTTCTGGCTTGGTGGGAGCCTAGCCAGTTTGAATGTTCACCTTCCTAGACATGGACGGAGAGGGGAGGTCCTTGGACTTTCCACAGGGCAGGGAACCATGACTGCTCTTTGGATTGGAGAGGGAGGGGGAGAGGAGAGGGGGGAGGGGGAGAAGAGAGGGGGGAAGGGGGAGGGAAATGGGAGGCTGGGAGGAGGCGGAAACTTTTTTTTCCCATTCTCAATAAAATAAAAAAAAATAAAAAAAAAAGATTCTAAACACATAAAAATGGACTCAAAACTCAGCTTCTTGGTAACTGCTTTTTTTCCTGGGTAGACTGTTTGCTAGAGGCCAGCATGAGGGCAGTTTCTTTCAAAAGATCCTGCTACCAAACACTTAAATGGGGTTGATGATCAGTGTGTGCTATGAAATTTCTTGTCTGGCCCTCAAAGTTGTAGTGATACCTTTAGCTCCCACTGGTGCCTCTACCATGAAGATGATAGACTATCAAGAAGCCAAGGAATACTGCGAACCAGCTGATTTGGTCTTAGTCACGCTGCTTAGCACTTTATAGATTCATGTTCAGAAAAGAGAGATACAAAGTAAAGAGAGTTTCAGAGAAAAAAATCTATAGACTCATAAAAAGGGAATGGAGAGTTTTAAAAAATAAAGCCTTTAAATAAGGAGTCAAGTAATATAAAAGGGCCATAGAAAGATGGAAAATGCTCTGAGAGTGGTTACTGTATGCTATTTTGTTGTCTTTGAACTCTGACTACTGCAAAAGGAGCAACAGCTGCTAAGAGACA